ATGTCTTGCCAAATGACGTCATTATCGGGCTGGGATTCGAACTCTCATTCCTTGGATTTAGAGTCAAGTGGGTAAATCACTATATTACCACTACACCTCAATAGATGGGGATATAGAAAGTGAGAGGGAGGAAAGAGAATAACTGAGAGAGGTATAAAGCTGTCAAACAGCTGTTGAAGCCATGGACACATGCAGTGCTTGGAAGAAAAAAAATTGAATTTGACAAAATGTAATTATAATCGTAAAAGATAAAGGTAAAGGAAAGTAATAAAGAGTAGAAATGGAAAAAAAGTTGACAAGCAATGATAGCTCTTACGAAATACCTCTCCATCCATAATATATGTATGAATACAACAACAACAGGAACAATAACATTGACTGACAAACAGAAAATTTCGCTGGGCATCTGAAACGAAGTCATCAAAATTGGAGAAAGCTAAAAGTACATAGTGATTGATTGTTTTTGATTCCCGGCACATTCAAGTGTCGCCTGTATGACATGTAGAAATCAATATGAACATAGCAGAGCGAACGTTCACCCCATCTTCTAAGAAGTTCTTTCGACCTCGGCCATTAGAGTGTACCAATCACCCACACAATATTTGTTTCTGTTTACCAGGGGTTCCAAGTCACTATACTATATTCAAGAAAGGGGCTCCAAATGTTATATTAAGAAATATTGTAAGTATGCACTCTCAATTAAATAAAAACGACTTGTGAGTAGACCAGTCGACATACCTACATTAATTGTGGAGATTTGAGTTGGTCTAGCGGCACGTTCAGTTGGTCAGCTCTTTGTCTTCGCCTACAAACTGGCTCAGGCGACCCCGGTTCGAAACTGAGTCACGTCTTTCGGAGATGTGAGTTGGTCTAGCGGCACGTTCAGTTGGTCTGCTCTCTATCTTCGCCTACAAACTGGCTCAGGCGATCCCGGTTCGAAACTGAGTTACGTATTTTGGATGGTGTCGTTCAAGGTCGGCCCACATTCTAGCTGTATACAAGTTATTACTTTTTAGAAGATGGGTACACGCTTTAAAGCCAGGATAACGAATTCTCCCCCATCTCACCCTACATCCTCCTTCTCCTCTAATAAAGCTTTCAGATTTAATATATTTGTTGATATAAACACGTAATTCTTCCTTTTTGTTCTTATATCGATAAGATATTTTTCTTCGCAATAAGGCGTCCCCGACAGGAGTCTATTTTGTTGTTTTAACGTAATACACAGTTTTGGTAATATTTCAACAGGATTGTTTTAAACAACATTGTTTTAAAGCCAAAGTAATATCAACCTTGAGAGGCAGCTATACACCATTGATAATTTATTATTCACAATGTCATCACTTTAGACTCGATTTCAATCGCGACAACGATCATTGCATACTTGTAGGATTGCATATGATTCCCATATGTTCATTTGAACCAGATTCATGACCCCATACCAAAACTATGCATTAACTTTAATCTGAACACAGAAATGGAAGAAAATAATTGTTACTTAGAAAATGAAATGAAATTGAATTATAAATGTATGAGGGGGCTTATTCTAATAAAGGGGAAAATGGAGCAATTCGGAGGCGAAATCGAGTTTTTATCGCCTTGTTACGGTCATGAAAGCATCGATTCGTTCCTATCTTTAGTAATTACATTTGTCAAATATATGCACTTAGGATTTAGTGTAAGTAATTACCTTTTCCAAAACAGGATTATCAACATACGCCTTCTGCATATTTGTTGTGATATTGGCGATCAGTATTATGCACATGACCTTCCAACATAACCTACAATACTGGGAATGTATAGGGAAAACTTTTAAACGAATCGTCGAAGAACGTGGGCTAGCAAGACTGTTTTCACAAATACCAAAACCGTCCAGGCATAACTTTGTATGGACTAGCACCGGGGTCACTACGAATTACACTCATAATTATAATAAATATGAATTTATGTAGCGCTTAATACGGAATATCGTCTCTAATCGCTTTACATATATCATTATTACCGAGGTCTTCTGATATATTCGTGCATTGTGCACAATTTCCACTCCCTGAGGAATATTTCTACCATTTAATTAAAGCCCCACTGTCCTACTTGTAGCTACTTGCTCCCTTTATATACACTGTTGGTCATAATGGTGGAATATTTATTTTTACCCCAGTTTAGGGAAGGATTTTTAAAAATTATTTATTTCTAATAGATCTAAATAATGGCATACATTCTCAGATTTTATTGAATATTAAATTGCGAGTGTTTGTTTTGCGTGACTGCTATATCATATGTGTGCTACTATGCTAATCAGCTAGGGAACCTACGTCCTTAAATCATAATTGACAGTAATGAGGATTAATGCCTCACAAAAGGGCACTAATATAGCTGATCAGCACGATTTTTATCCTGGGGCCTCACAGTAACGAGGCTATTGCTTAGCCCCTGAATCATGACTGTACGCAGTGTTTGCTAGGGTACGCGGCCCCTTCCACAAATCCCCCAAAACGAAGAAAATGCAATAAATTGTCAAAAATTCATTGCATTTTCCCCCGGCCCCCTACTCTGTGTGGCCATGCCTTGAACCATAATGCATGGCCCTACAGAGGAATATTTCCTGTAGGGGGCCGGGGGAAAATGCAATGAATTTTTGACAATTTATTGCATTTTCTTCGTTTTGGGGGATTTGTGGAAGGGGCCGCGTACCCTAGCAAACACTGCGTACAGTCATGATTCAGGGGCTAAGCAGTGGCCTCGTTACTGTGAGGCCCCAGGATAAAAATCGTATCGATCAGCTATATATTAGTGCCCTTTTGTGAGGCATTAATCCTCATTACTGTCAATTATGACTTAAGGACGTAGGTCCCTTAGCTGATTAGCATAGTAGCACACATATGATTAAGCAGTCACGCAAAACAAACACTCGCAAATTAATATTCAATAAAATCTGAGAATGTATGCCATTATTTAGATCTATTAGAAATAAATAATTTTTAAAAATCCTTCCCTAAACTGGGGTAAAAATAAATATTCCACCATTATGACCAACAGTGTACTTCCCCAATCGGTGCCTATTGAACCCCCATGATCCTCTTTTTCTTATGTTAGTTGAGAGCTGAGTTAATGAGATAGCCACCTTTCAGTGACCTTGCTGTGTGGTCTAATCCCTTCTGGCCCAGTAGTATTGACGGTCGTTAATGGTGACGGCGAGGGCACATGGCAATCTCTATCACAGAGACTTTCGTTATCCTATCAGGGGGAGCGGTGTTTCACAAAGACTAAGATCGACTTTAAAGATAAACTTTAGTACTGGTAATGCGATTGCATTGTGAAAGAAAAGGTGTGGAAAGGATCAGAAACAGTTGATCATGTAGCATGTAAGTATTGGTGTGCACTGCAAGGTTCTGGAGTCATCAAAATCATAATAAATTTGACCGAGTCTTGGTAAAGTAACAAGCACTCACATAGAAAGCTATATATGGGACAACACACATGGTGTCGGGGCTAGTACTACCTTGATTTCCTTGTCTTTCTATGCTCATTACTCAGCCAGTATACATTTTCTTCCAAAATTGTTTGGCACATGTCATTTATTTGTAATCTTGAACATTCAGTGTAGGTTTCGTTTGATTCTGTGAGAATTTTTTTTTTTTTTTTTTTTTACCAGTACTGGAGTTTATCTTTAAGTTGGGCTTACCTATGGCAGTATACATTTTCTTCCAAAATTGTTTGGCACATGTCATTTATTTGTAATCTTGAACATTCAGTGTAGGTTTCGTTTGATTCTGTGAGAATTTTTTTTTTTTTTTTTTTTTACCAGTACTGGAGTTTATCTTTAAGTTGGGCTTACCTATGGCAGGCCATTCATGCCACTGGTTGCTCTCACCGTTATGATTTTTAGATAACATTTTTTCCTTAAATAATGAGAGCAAACAGTGGCATGAACGGCCTGCCGTAGTTAAGTCCATCTTAAAGTCGATCTTGGTCTTTGTGAAACACCCCTAGGTTCCCATTTTCTCTTCCGGACATAGACTGGAAAATGGGCACGGTAGACACGATTACTGACAAGTAACGAAATACCACAGTTATGAATAAATATTCGGAAAAGTTTCTAATCAGATTAGTTTAGGAGGGTCATGAGTTCATATACTTCTGAAGAAATATTAAATCTTTTTAAAAGATATGTATTTTCCCATCTCTCTCTCTCTCTCTCTCCCTCTTTCTCTCCCTCTCTCTCTCTCTCTCTCACACACACACACACACACACACACTCTCTCTCTCTCTCTCCTATATATATGTAGAACGACCAATTCTAAGCACAGTGAAATACACACTAGTGTTGTAGCTACTTTTGTCTTTAATCGTCACAAATATATAAAGCAACTGCTACTCACAAAATAAAAATACTTCTCACCAATTCTTGATTGTGTGTACACTACTTTCATCGACCGTTCGTCGCGAACAGTCTATCTATTATTTAGATCCTTATTTTTATCTAATCTGTTTGAAGGGAAATCGACCATAAATAAGGATAACAATATACCACAATGACTTAGCGCATATTAAAAGTATTGTCTATATGTTCTGTAATGACAGAAGAACAAAATATGAGAAGAATGAGATATGCTCAGCATACTTCCTTAAGTCATCAGGAAAGATTGCAAATCGGTTCTAATGACACGTTTAGAGACGTCTTTCCAAGTTGTCAAACCTTCATAAAACGCCATTCGATGCAAAGAATTAAAGAATCATATCAAATAACTCAGTAAAATTATGACAAAAGTCCAGTAAATATTTGTTTTAAAGATTTGAAACTTGAAATATAGGGTACTGGCTATGCGATTGTAATGTCTAGAAAAAACTGTCTAGAAGCATTTAGGAAAGGTTTAATTTGTAATAAACAGTTATTATGTGTACTGTGAAGTTTTGGAATGATCACCATGAAAAGAACTTGACTCAATCTAGTTAAAGATCAAATGCACTGCACATTGACACGGGTATGTGAAAATACACACATCCGAACTTTCAGATATGTCTTGTCATGTTTATAATGTGAAGGCACTCTAAAAGCACTCTTTTTTTGTCAGAGCATACTCCTACTATAGATTATAGTCTTCCAAACTGACATACCTATTATTTTTCACCTTTACACAATCTTATCTTAATGATATGGCGAATCTGCAATTGGCATGTCTAATTGAAAGCTCATTTAATATACTTTCCTTTCCATTATACTGCTCTATAGGCACTTTATCTAAGATAAATCATGAATTATCAAAGTCCTCCCTTGAAAATTAAATATAGTTCCACCATAAGAATTAAGAAATTAGATATTGGAAGTAATTGAGGTTTGAAGAGGGAGATCCCTTTTTTATGGCAGGTAGATTTCAAATGATGTTTCATTTCTGATAATAATGTAGGCTTGTTAAAACACCTACTAATTTTCTGCTTCGGTGGCGTTTTGTCTTATTTCTCTGTAATTACTTTCCACACAGAACAATTCATTTTTTTAAATAAGTATACACGTACAGCTCAGTGGATACAAAACAACAGTGAAGATTTAAAATCAGTCACAGGGATCCGGGGGAAACAACTAAATAACTATAACCCGAAGTTCTTCAATTATAACCTAAAATGTGTTGGGTATAAAAATGATGCAATGTTCAGACAATTCTACTTACAAAAACATTGCTTGCAGTTGAAGACTTTCACAAACAACTTTTACAGAGAGTATAATGATAACGGTTTTATGTTGTTGATCTTTTATATATTACATTGTAAGATACTAAGTAAATCTTAATATATAGAAACAAGAAGATGTCGATGACAAATCAAAAGATAAACACCCTTAGTAGATAAATGAACCGATTCAAATACACACTACCAATTGGACATCCTAACATAATCCACTTTTTCTTTCTTTCTGTATCTCAACCTCTCTCTCTCTCTCTCTCTTCCTTTCTTTCCTCTTGTTGTTATCTCTCTGACTTTCTTTGTTTTGTTATTTCTCAACATCGTCTCCTCCTTACGATTTATGTATGTCACAGTTTATCTACCTGTCTCGCTTTCCACCTCTCTAAAGACTTGCTCTGATGCTACCTTTGTCCGGAACTCGAATTAAAAGTAAACATTTACATATGTCACAAGATCGAAAGTATATTTATGGAGTATCAACATGAAAAAGATCCATCTAGATATCCTTACAATGATCGTTAATTGTCAAACATTGCTACCATATCCCTTCCCCGTGTTTCCTGAAAAATAAACACGAGTTTCACAATCCTGACAAAGGTATTTCTAGTTCAGCCACCTACTTTTCCCCAATGAGGTTCTCAAATATATACAGCATGTGCACTAATACCACAATCTAATCAAACTCTTATGTACGTTTTTGCACGACCACTATTTCCCCAGGGAAAGCAGGCTTTCAGCTGTCTCTATAATCCTATAATAAAAGATACCATCTTTTCAGGATTCAGAGTATAGTAAATGCAACGAACTGTAACAAAAACTACATTTCCAGGTATGTGTATATACATTGTCATATCAATTATCTGTGATGAAGAACATAAATTACGTTCATGTTTGCGATCGATATGTGTCAAAATAGTTTAAGTTTGTCCATTCTCTCTTTCTCTTGCTTTCTTTCTGCCATTCTGAATGCGAAAAAGCATAACGACCAATGTAAGAACCATATGCGTTTTGAGCTCATGAAAAGTCAAGTATTACATTAAGACAAAGATAATGAATCTTTTCAACCGTCCATGTAATGTTTTTATGCAGTCTTTCAAAGCTGGTACTTCTAGTTTTGAAATGAATCATCTAATATAGATGCATGTTAATATTAATTTGATTATTTTTGATTCATTTGCAAGTGCTTCATCCAAAAAAAAATGTTTTAGAGGATAGAACAAAGAGAACTGTTCATAGTCATATGGTCATATGTTTTATTATATTGTTAACAGATACTGAACCTAGATTATTGTTTGTAAACCAGTTGTTAACGTCACAGATACCACTCAACGTCATCTGTATCTGCGCTGATACCTGGGACTAGCTTGACATGATGGTAGAGAGCTATCCTTGGTATCCTCTTACACTCTCCCTGATACCACTTCAGTAATACCCATACCATGCTCTCTCGGATCCAATACAATCCTGTTGTCTCGCTTGATCGAAACCGAGCATTCCTCTTCCTCCATCAGAAATCCAGGATTTCCCTGACCCATAGCCGTTTCCATGGAAGTAGGTTCCATAGCAACCGAATCAGTCATCTTCCCGAGATCATCCTCTTCCTCCTCCTCCTCCTCATCCTCGTTCCTTTTATCCAGTGTTGACATGTTCACATCTTCACCTGTGAAGTTCTGGCCGACTGTTCTCTTGTCATCGTGGGATGGCGCTGTTGTAGAGCTGAATTGTTGGACGTCGTCGAAGTCAGCGGTGAGGTAGTCGGAATCGACGGCGAGCATGTCATCCAATCGCTTGAAAATGGTGGTGAAGGTCGGACGCTCTGATGGGTTGGCATGCCAACATGCTTTCATGATGTCATAGCTGATTAAGAGATAGCAGTACATTATCTTATAATCTGTAGATGACTATGCTTTGACAAATTTCAAGACTAAACATAAAACAGTAACAATGTATTCTGTATTTGCACTTTGTTTGCAGTTATGCTGATTTACCAAACATATCAAAGTCAGGTCAAATTTAAACATTTGCTTGATTATTTCTGATGATTCATGAAACGTAAATCTGTCTCCGTTACCTAAATTTTTACTGCTAACGAAAGGATCAGTGTTTAATTAGATGAAAATTTTAATGTAATTCAATAAGAAAAACCTTATTCAATACAGGTTTTGTTTACACACAGTAGATTTGAACTGCCTAAACCTTTATTAACATTCCCTTTTGATTCCGTTTACACCTCCCTTGCCATATAGTGCAGAGTTACGGTTTTCGCTTGATTGATAACCTTTAACGCTTAAATGGGAGAGTAATGTTGAAGGAATATATGTTAATTAGGGTAGGCAAGCTTCAGAAAGTACTATAAATGCATTCTAAAACCTTATGGACAAAAACGATAATGTTATCCAAGCATCGTCGTATTTATAGATCAATTCATGAATTATACCTAAGTTGATCGATGACGTAGAACAAAGAGAGAGGATAATTACCTGATGTAAACACAATCATGAATGCCTCAATGACGCACATCCACCGGCATCATTTATCAAATACGCGTTTGCTTTATATTCATGTTTTTAAAAGCAATATATTTTGCCATTGTTCTTGGGTCTTTAACTCTTTACTTGCCAAATTTTGGTTCAGAAAGAATATTTTCAACAAGTACCTTCCACATATTTTGAGTTTTCTTTGGATATGAATTTTTTGTATTGATAATTATGTTTAGATTCTGAATAGTATCACAAATAGGTCATTCGATGATGCCCTTTCAATTAATTCCTCTAATCCTATTGTTAATTATTTCCAGTAAAGGGAAACCCTCCGTGAAATTGCATAAAGAGTAATCATTAAAAACGAAAATTTGAACTGCACCACTTTTATTATTTTCCTTGCAATGCTCATGGTCGAAAGAATGCACTGTAAATGATAATAAGAACCCCCATGATAATGTTTTTTTTTAAATCAATACATTGATCAACTCATTAATTAACCCATTCATTATTCAACTATAAAATATTGTTGTCGCTTTTATTTGTTGCTCTCTCTCTCTCTCTCTCTCTCTCTCTATTTCGTACTTACACATCCTCAGGACACTGGTCTGGTTTAGGCATACGATATCCTTCTTGTAGTTTCGATATGATCTCTCTTCCGTCCATTCCCGGGTATGGTACGCCACCTAGCGTGTAGATCTCATACATCACGATTCCGAAAGACCAGCTGAGAAATCAAACAACAACAGTTATCAAATCGGCCAAATTCTCAACTAACGCATGAACTATTTTATCTGCCATACCATTTTTTCTGATCAAGAACAATTCCATCATTCTTGTTTATATTGTGGTTAACTGCATTATGATGTTACAAAACAAAAAAAAACAGTACAATAGTTCGGGCAATAGGTGCTCTTTAAAGGTACCATGTCCTATTTGCAGGCCAAACAAATGAAAAGGTTAAATTCCAACAGCATTTGAAATATAATACTAATTTAGAACTTCCCTAAAAAAGAGGGGGCTTGAAAATGTCTTTATTAAGTGGGAAAATAACGACTATTAGTTGTCGAATTGACTTAAGAGCTATAGAGCTAGTAAGTAATAGTCTGATTTTCAGACCATTGTACCGAATGGTTGTATATTTTATGTTGCGCAAAGATTCAATCAGTTTAATTTTGGCCTTTACGAGAAGTGGGTTATTGATGTAGACAAATGATCATGTACCCTTTACAGCTCATTTTATGTATGTTATTACCTAAGATGAAAAAAGCCTGTCAGCTACTCAATGGTATATGACAGTTAAGTCTAGCAAGTAAACGGGTTTCCTTGCATAATTTGAATATTAGGACACTGCTAACGTTTTAATTTCACAGATAGGACATACATGACATATTCATAATTCCTGCAAAGTTCTACAGAATTTGATGTTGGCTGCAAAAGGGACATAGTATATTTAAGGCCAGAATTTAATCGAATTAAAGGCATTCCCAATCCACTGGGCTAATTCTATTATTAATTGCTGCCTAAACTTTACTTGTGCCGGTCGGCGTGTATGGCAAATTTTAAAAAAAAATCGTTAAGTAATTGTTGAATACAAAAGACGCAATGTAGAATAACGAAATCCTTTTAATAACAAGACTCTTTACTCTGCGTAGGAAGCAAGCCTCAAACTGAAACATGAACGATGTTATTCGATTAAGTTTGGCACGGATGGAATTCTAGAGGATTCGAATACCCTTTATAAAACTAATTGTCGCTTTCTGTGACTGATTACTATGCTAAAATATGTATTATTCTAAATGTTGGATGGTTAGCCTAACCTTTAAATGAAGTGTGCTCAATTACCCCCCCCCCCCCGCACCATCACCACCACCACCACCACCACCACAACCACCACCACCACAACCACCGTACCAACAATATAGAGATGTGTCATAAAAACTTTATGCTTGGGTACATTTAGCAATTAAGGTACGTAACCAATGTTTTCGTAGTGAGGGTTCTTCAAATACTACTGGCAGATCGGGGAGCAGGGGGAGGGGGATTATTTCTCTCTACGAAACCAAATATTTGGTCTGTTTCTTACACACAAGAAAAAAATATGCACAAAAGTGTTTTTCATGCCTCCTCCCCACCCCCCTTTATCCCTCAGTTTTGCTTTTCAGGGAATATTTCGTTCTTGTGCCACCCCCTCCCCCCCCCGACAAGTTAGGGTTATACGAACCTATGAATGACTAATACCATGTAAAGTGTATAGTTAATCTAGAAGCGTCATAATGATTTCATTCCTAAAGATAAAGGTGGGTTCTGGTAATGCGATTGCATTGTGAAAGAAAAGGTGTGGAATGAATCAGAAAAAGTTGATCATGTAGCATGTAAGTATTGGTGTGTACTTCAAGGTTCTGAAGTCATCAACATCATAATAAATTTGGCCCAGTCTTGGTAAAGTAACAAGCACTGTACACAGAGAGATGTATATGGGACTTCACAAACGGTGTTGGGGTTACTTACCTTGATTTCATTATCTATCTTTGCTTATTACTCATCCAGTATACATTTTCTACCAAAATTGTTTGGCAAATGACATTTATTTGTAATCTTGAACATTCAGTGTAAGTTTTGTTTGATTCTGAAGAATTCATTTGTTTAATTTTTTTTTATTAGAACTCAAGTTTATCTTTAACATAAGTACTTACACATCGCTTTGTATGGTGCATCTTCCGATGGTATTAGTTTCTAGACTGACCCACTTGACAGGTCTTTTCTTGTCTGGGGCCAGTCGTTTGTAGCCGCTCTGATAGATGTCATCAGCGAGACCAAAATCCGATACCTTCACTTCTAATCCCTCACCGACCAACACATTACGAGCAGCCAGGTCGCCATGGTAATAACGCGTCTTGAAGATGTATTCCTGTTTCAGGTAAAATTAGTTTTTTTTTAGGAAAAAAATTATTAAAGCGCTTGTCTGTTGAAGGAGTAATAACATGTGCTCGGCCCCACCATATGTACCCTACGGAAGAACAGCAACATTTAGACATGTGTCTAAATATAATATTACTATGTACTTCTAACTTATCGAAGTATTTATGGAACAAACAAATGAATAAAAGTTAAAAACTGATATGCTCGTTGATGTTAGTAAGAAATAAGTTTGCATTAAAGCTATAGTCTATACGTATGATGATGATTTTGAAGTCAAGCATTACACAAATTACATCTACTTTAAGTATTTATATTGCATCATTTATTTGTATTTATTTATTTTGCTATTATTAGCTTTATTATTGATTTAAATTTACTTAATTCTTTCAGAGTCAATTTTTTTTGTTTAGCTTCATTTATTTACTGTTTCTGTCCAATCAAATGGATGCATGTGTTCGTCATTAATTCGTAATGTTTCGTTTTATAGTGATCGGTGTTTTTTCTCTATAAGACCTAAACGACCCAAATTTAAATTCCGGTCACATTTGACTGTAGAGGGTGAAAATCATTATTGATCGCAAGATGGCGGCAGACCATATTATCGATTTCTATTAATTCAAGCTTTTGGTGTTTATGATTCTCCTCATCATTCTTGTAAATTATACCTTATAACTTAGAGTTGATGCTTTCATTTCATCGCAGACTCGAGTAAACATTATTATTATTATCATTAGTATCAGGAAAATGGAGAACATAACTCTATATACAACTTTATTTATCAAGAAGGGTTTAGAGAAGGGTTTAGAGGAGGCATTATTCACAAAAGACGTACATGATTTGAATGGCTTAGCTCCCCTTCGTCATATAATAACATAAGACAAAAGATATTACTTTTATTACGTATGCATTATTTGTGTCCAGGATTTAAAAAGGAATAATGTCTCCATGATGCGAAAACATTAACATATCAGACACTAACCATTCCACGAGAGATCTGGCGACAGATCTGGAGCTGGTTGGCCTGGGTGAGGTCAAAGATGCTGTCTTGTCTCCGGTACTTGTCCTAGAGAGCGAGATATAAGAGCAGTACAGACGTGATTTACATAATATGATATTGATTTAATGATGAGAGAAAACAAAGAGAGAGAACTGATTAACGCAGTGATTAAGAGAAAACTAGTGTATGTTGACATGTGATGAGACGAGGAGGATTGCAGAAGATCTTGCTGGAAGGAATGGTAGAGGGTAAACGGGAAAGAGGTAGACAGCGATGCACTTGGTCTGATGATGTCAAGAAATAGACTGGTCTTAACTACGGAGAGGTTAGAACAAGGGTACATGACAGAAAGCGATGGAGGTGCATAGCCGCCAACCCCTTCCGAAGGGACGGCACTAGATGATGATGATGATGATGATGATGATGATGATGATGATGATGATGAGAACGTAATCATTTTTAATCGATTCTACGCACCATAAGGAATCGTCTGAAAAATAGCAAAAAGCTACATAACAATTAAGGAAGGTAAGAGGATTCTTTCAAATGTAAAATCTATCAAAACAACAATAACAAAAACGATAATAATAATAACAATGATAATAATAATCATAACAATGATAATAATAACAATAATAATATTAATAATAATAACGATAAAAAGAGCAACTGTCACCACCAGCAACACTATCACCTTCATCACAGACACCAACACCAATACACGAGTACATAAAAAGTAAATTAAATTCCCGACCTACAAGGAACCTGAAAGAATTTGAAAACTTAAGTTTTATTTGTAAGAGTGGGGGTGGTGAAAGCCCCTCTAAAGTGTTGAGAGCCTCAAATTCGCAAATAATTTGATGGCAAATTTCACTTAAATTGTGTCATAATGTGAAGTAGGATGTAATTGAGGAGACACTTCTGCAAAGATTCCCCCCTCTAAAAAAAATAAAATAAATAAAATAAATAAATAAATGAATACAAATATTGAGAAAAGAGTAAATAATATAGGTTTACTGTTGTACGCAGAATACCTACATTTTTCATCAATATTCGACTTGAAACACAGTTGTTTTAAAAATCCTTGCAGAAAATATGTCTTAAAGGACATCCTCGTTCACATTTTGATCAAATTTGAGGGGCTTTAAACACTTAAAATATATGATAACCTGTTTTGCTCCTTGCCCTATCTTGCTTATAAAGGGTTATGTTAGCCCTCCTCCCCACCCCCTTTACACAACCTTGGATCTGCCGCTTCTGTTACTGAGCTCACCTCTCTGCATTTCCACAGGAAGTGAAGTAGATCCCCATACTTCATGTACTCCGTGATGAGATAGTTGGGTTCATGTACCGTGCAGCAGCCGATGATCTGCAGGATGTTAGGGTGTTGTCCCAGGTCGATCATCAGTTTAATCTCATTCAAGAAATCCTCTTCCATCCCTGGCGTAGCGTTCACTATAATTACGTAACATAAAATCACGAGTTTACCGATGAACAAGCTGTATCAAAACCCACTGTACTACTTATAGCTACTTGCGCCCTCTATATAGCAAACAGTGCCTAATCGGTGCAGGTTATTCCCCCATGATTTCTTATTCTTATGTTAATTGACTTATGATTTGATGAGATTACCACCTGACAGTGACCTTGCAGGGAGGTCTAATCCCCCTGGCCAAACTAGTACAGACGGACTTTAGGTGTATGCTGACATTTGGCCAACCAATGCCTCGATGGCAGACATAATTTTCATGTGTACGTTTATACTGATCCTACAGGAAATGAATTTTGATATCCAGACTTGGTTATCATTTTGTAAGACTGTTATAACAATGCTTTTTACAATTATTAGAACTTGGAAAAGTTGCAACTCCTTTGCACTCGTGGTCGAGTGGTTTAAGGACTTGATTTCAAATTCAAATTCATAGGTCGTACGTTCGATCCCCGACACGGCACTAATGTCTTTTGGTAAGGCGTAAATCTACATTTGCCACTCCATACCCTGGAGAGAAATGGGAACCTAGTAGGATGACACAAACCTTTGTTCTAGTAATTACCATATGCTTTCACAATGACCAAATGGTAAGAACACTCCCCTAGATTCGAACTTACCCCTCAAACTCTTAACAGCTACAGGGACGTATTCCTTTATTCCATTCAGGCCGAATGCAAAAGCTTTATAGACGATGCCGAACTGACCGGCACCTAATTCTTTCTCAATCTTCAAGAGTGATCTGTCGAACTCTTTGCCCTCAAATGCAGGATCCTTAGGCGTGAGGTCTAAAAGAGGTGTATAAGTACTTGATGAGAATTCATGAAAGTGCTTGTCAAATGCTCAAATGATCGTAATTAATAAAATGAGTAGGAAGAAGCATTAAAGATGCATTGGTTGACCCCGGACATTTCCGGAACCGTATCCGGACACTTACCCCCTGGACATCCACCCCCACCCCCCACCCACCCACCCCGGATAACCACCCCCAGTCAACTACCCCCTAGGGCAACCACCCTCTAGGACGTACGACTACCCCCCCCCCCAAGACATCTGCCCCCGGACAACTAACCCCAGACAACTATCCCCTAGGACCACTACCCCCTAGAACAACTACCCCCGGACAACTACCCCAGACAACACCCCATAGGATAGTTGTCCGGGGATAATTTTCCAATAGGATTGTTGTCGTAGGGGGAAGTTGTCTGGGGGTAGTTGTCCGGGGGTATTTGTTCGGGGTTAGTTGTCGTAGGGGGTAGTTGTCCGGGGGTAGTTGTCCTGGGGTAGTTGTCCCGGGGGTAGTCATCCTACAGGGCGGTTGCCTTAGGGGGTAGTTGTCCTAGGGTGTAGTTGTCCTAGGGGGTAATTGACTGGGGTGGATAATCGGGGGATGGATGTCCAAAGGGTAGTGTCTTAGAACCGTCAGGAACATCTACCTAGAATGTAATGCGAAAAGGCGAAACAAGATGGTATGGGGGCAAGATGTGACGATGGCAAAGTGATGAGAAAGGGGTCCGACAACAATGAAGGATGATAACAAAAAAACATTGAACTTTGCACATATCTTTTGCAAGCAATACAGCAAGACGCACGGTACGAAGCTGTCCTTTCCCCCTCTTATACTGGCTTTGTTTGCTAGCTAGTGTGAATTTGTAATGCATTTCATAGTAATGGTTATTTGATAAATGTTAAGAATCATGGAATATTCAAAAGGCACCATAAATGGTTACCCAATGTACACCAGTACATGGATTGATGCTATTCTGGTTTGCTGATGTACCTGTACCTTTGCCATGTCCATATACCAATATGTAAAATTGTCGACCTTATCGGTTCTAAAATGTGGGATATGTTTACTTATCATGGTCTTACCTATAGATGGTCGCTTTACTTTAGGTGTCGGAGGCTTGTCAGAATTACCGTTCTCCAGGTAGCGAATGAAAAGGGTCTCGTCGCTGGATTTAGACCGCTTCCGTCGAAAGCGAACCAAGATGGCGGCTATACAGCAGGTAAGAACTAATGCCGGTACGCCTGAGTAGAGTAAGACCTTGATCCATTCACTTTGGCCTTGATCAGGAGATAGAGGAGTGGTCTGTATAAAAGGACTGGTCTCCCTTGGGGCATCAGTTAAAGCATCTGTTAGAAACACTGGGCAGTGACGATAAATGTTGTTGAAAAAAACTAGAAGTATTAGGAAAGAGGAGGAAGAGGAGGTGGTATCTCAATTGATACTTTTAGAGCATTAATTTTCCTTTAATTTGATATATAGTTTATTATATTTCATTCATGGTTAATATGAAAAATTTGAACAATAAAGAGTGTCTACTTTTTTGTTTAGTGTATATCTCATAACAAATGTACAACTTACATGAAAAAAGTTTAAAGGAAAGTACGGATATGTCTGTAAACTGCCAGAGTTATATATGTAATGTATTATGTAATATGTAATATGTAAATCTTCTATACATTACCTTGCACACGACTGGTCGTGCTGTCTACATGGGGACTTTGTGGCGGCGTTCTAGTTGGTTTGATCTGCACACCCGGTGAATCCAGCCCTACAAATGAAAATGATATTTCATTTTTGAAGAGCCCATTTTGGAACCAGTTTCCACATAATATATTTGCTCTAAAAAAACATTAACATGAGCTGAGGACTTGTAGGCATTAAGATATTTAGGTTGATAGGAACTTCAGTATCCATTGAGATTCAGATCGAAACAAATCTTCTTTAAATGGATAGAAAACAAATGCTTAGAATTCTATGCAGAGGGAAAGGGGGCGAGATTCTGTAATAAGATCACAAGGCCTGTGATGGGGTTGCCAAAGCCATATATAATAATAATAATAATAATATTGGATTCTTATATAGCGCACGTATCGAACTTGCAAAGCGCTCCAACATTACCCGGCTATGCTAGGCTGCCGATTTCGACGCTCACAGCATTTAAAGGAATTCCTTCCTACCGGTACCCATTTAACACCTGGGTGGAGAGTGGCAAATGTAGATCAATGTCTTTCCAAAGGACATTAGTGCCGTGGCGGGACTCGAACCGCGGACCTTGTCATCGACGGTCCGGCGACGTATCCACTCATCCACGACACCTCATGAATCATAGTCTTGAGTAACACAAACGAACCAGATATTAATTGAATCTGAAGAGCTCGACTTGCCTAATCAACGAGTATAATATAGGATTTCTCGGTCACTTTCGTAAGTTGGCCACACAAATTCATTTTATGTTCATTCAATTTCGCCGATTCTGTCACCGCAGCTGTTATTTTTCGTTCAAATTCGTTTTTTTAGCATTTAAATTCCTAAAACGATCATTCAAAAACATTTCTTTTTCATTCGATTTAAAACGTGTTTCTTTTTCGTAAAATGTTCATTCAATTTAAAGCGAGACGATTCGCGATTACGTAATAACGTCTTCCGTGAATTCAAATTCGTTTCTTTGCATACAGTTTCACACGTTTTGCAGACAAATTAAACATGTAAATCCTACCAAGTATGATCATAATTATATAGAACCCCGCAAGCTTAGTTCCATGCTAAATCCATTTCAAATTGTGTAGGTCGGTAAGCAACAAACATGTTATTTGTCCTCACTATGTGTGTATAACCATTAAATCACTACTATTTAGCAACTAAACGATCATGTGTTAAAGGTATTACAAAGTTTTGGTATGGGGTCATGAATTTGGTTCAAATTAACATATTGGAAGCATATGCGTTCCTACAATATTCATTGATCGTTGTCGCGGTTGAAATCGAGTCTAAAGTTATGAAATTGTAAATAATAAACTCTTTATGTTGTATAGCTCCCTCTCAAGGTCAAGATATTGATTTAGCTATGAAACAATGTTTCTTGACTAAAATCGACCGATTAGCTATTCCCGTTTGGAAATTATATATCACAACTACATATTCTGAGAGTTTCATGGTCGCAACTACCATTGTACGGCCATA